CGGGCGTTGGTGCCGCACGCCTTTAATCCCAGCACTCGGGAGGCAGAGGCAGGCAGATCTCTGTGAGTTCGAGGCCAGCCTGGTCTCCAGAACGAGTGCCAGGATAGGCTCCAAAAGCTACACAGAGAAACCCTGTCTCAAAACAAACAAACAAACAAACAAACAAAGAATAAAACCACCTCTTGCCAAATACCAACATTTGCAGATAGTCTGACCCCTTTAGAAAGGAACAAGGCTGATCATGGTGGCACACACCTGTAACCCCGGCACCAACAGGAGGATAGCTGAGGCCAACTGAGCTACATCAAGAATTCCAGGCTTCATCATCATAAGCACTGGAGTCACTTCTGTTGGATAATGAACTAAATATGTATATATCTGTGCTTGGGGTTCACTCTAAGCCCCAAATGAGGCCTTAGTATGAGGCTTGTTTGCCTATGGGAATCATTCTAGTCCCTTCCAGATTCAGGAATTACAATAAAGTTGAAGCCAGGATTGGTGGTACAGCCTTATTATACCAATCCTGGGGAGGTGGGGGGGAAGGAAACAGGGTGCTCAAGGCCAATCTCTGCTACATAGCAAGTTCCAGGAAAGCCTGAGCTACCCAAGACCATGTCTCAATAACAAAAAGGGCTTGAACAGAACTTCTAAGTTGGAAATGAAGTAAAAACAAAGGATGTGCTGACTGACTGTACCTTGGAAAGAAAGCTTTGCCAGTGTTAACCACCAGCAGGTAGATTTGGAGCCACACATTAGTTACCACTCATTTCCCTAACAAATCACGTGGGTTTTTAATCTGCAAAATGACAGCTGTGCATTTCCATCAGATGGGACAAATCCACTTGGCTCAAATACCCTTTCTTTTTTTCCAGCATCTGGGTGGTCCAGTGTGCTGCTACAGGGGGATGAGGCAACTGCAGATCCTATAGAGACCAACGAAGACATGGCCATCGAGGTAAGACCTTTCTCAGGTGACTTCTTCAAGGTCATCTGTCCATCAGAGTGAAGCAGTGGCAGGCTCCCTCTGCCTCGCTGGCCTTTTCTCTGCTGAGGCAAACAGACACAGGGTTTCCTGAAGTCTGGGAGCAGATTAGAAAGCTTTTTAAAATCTTACTGCGTTTGTATTTATTGTGTGTGAATGTGAGTGTGTGGTGCATCACAACACAAGTGTGGCGGTCAGAGGGCAACTTGTAGGAGTCAGTTCTCTCTTTCCACCATCTGTGTTCTGAGGATTGAATTAAAATGTCAGGTTTGGCTGCAAGCACCTTTACCTGCTGAGCCATCTCACTGGTCCTAGGAAAGTTTTTGAAATCCAGAATCTATGTCTTGATTCCCAGTGGGCCTGCTGTAGGGTATTCATGAACATCTAAGAATAGGCTGAGTTCAAACAGTAGCCTCCATGGGGTCAGAGCAGCAGACATGAATATTCTGAGCTTTGAGAAATCCGGCCCCACTGTGCATTGTGGAGAAAGGTCATGGAGGCACAGGGCAGCTTTGGTTCAGACTCAAGATTTCCAGTGATGTCAGCAGGAAGGCAGCACATGGCCCACTCAGGCGGGAACAGTGAGGGCCAGAGGTTTACAGAGTGAGTCATCTGGAAGTTAATGAAATCAGCACCGTTCAAATGAAATGCATGAAATGTATAATCATCACATTGATTAAGGACGCTTTAATGAACATTAGCAGTGGTTCCACCATACTGGGATGGATACAAGGAAGAGGCCTCCTCGCTTCTGCTGTGTTTTCACTAACAAAGCCTGGATGCGGGGGACTTTTTCCTGTCTTTCCTTGGATGACATGAATTTTTTGTATGTGCCATTTCTGAATGTTTTCTTCCTTTTGCTTTGTGTTGTTGTTTTGAGACAGGGAAAAGTGGTAGGAGGGACAGGGGAGGGACTGGAAAGAAGGAATGGGGAGAGAGTTGATCAACACACTTAATATGCATTGAATGAAGAGCTTATTTCTACTTTGTTATGTATGAATGTATGTATTTATCATACTGGGGGCTTGAACCCAAGGCCTTGCTGTTGCCAGGCAAGAAGCACCCTATCAACTAAGCCCCTGTCCGAAATTTTATATTCAAAACACTTTCTAAACACATCAGTTTAGATAGGTATATCATATGAACCTATTCCTATTTGATAGTTTAAGATTGCTCAGTGTAGTGGATCAAATTGAGAATCATAAAACACTGCATCTTTCTGGGCAGTGGTGACGCACGCCTTTAATCCCAGCACTTGGGAGGCAGAGGCATGCAGATCTCTGTGAGACCAGTCTGACCTACAGGGCGAGTTCCAGGACAGCCAGGGATACACAGAGAAACTGTCTCAAAAAAAAAAAAATAAAAAACGAAAACAAAAAACAAACAAACAAAAAAGCAAACTAAACAAAACGCTGCATCTCTCAGAGACTATTCTAGAAGAAGAGGGAGACACTGAGAGGGTGATAAAGGGTGAATATGATCCAGGTATTCCAGAATGAAGCCTATCATTTTGAACAATGAATGTATAGTATTAAAAAAAAAAAATTCAGGGGGCTGGAGAGATGGCTCTTTAATTAAGAGCATGCACTGTTCTTCCAGAGGACAAGAGTTTGATTCCAAGCACTCAGATGAGGTGGCACACTACTGCCTATAACTCCAGATCCAGGAAAAACTGACACCTCTAACCTCCTCTGGCATCTGTACATACATGTGCATACATGTACACCCATGTGCACACCCAGGCACAGATCCAAACACATACACCATTAAAAATATTAATTTAAAAGTCAGCTGGATATGGAAGTACATGCCTTTAATCCCAGCACTCTGGAGACAGAGGCAGGAAGATCTCTGTAAATTCCAGGCCAGCCAGGGATACACACAGAGAGAAAACAAATCATACCTGGTGATCCTTCCTGTAGCCCCAGCACTCAGGAAGCTAAGAAAAAAAGCTGATGAATTCAAGGCCAGGCTGGCTGTGCTGTATAGCAAGAACTTGTTCCAAAACACAAAATCAAATAAAAGCATCTCAGCTGTGGAGGGGATGGGTGTAGAGGCCAGAAACTAGAAAGGGACCCACAAGGGGGGGGGGGCTTAGGGGAGGGGTGGGTAATAAAACAATGTGACATGAAAGTAGAAGAAAGAATAGTGGGGTGGGAGGGTTTTTACACTGGGATGAAGGCCAAGGAGATGAGAGGAAGTGGGGCAAGATGCACCAAAACTAAATATAAAGATTCCTTAAAGAAACCTGCTACTTTGCTAGCTAAGTAAAATAAAGACCATTACCCCCCACCCTAAGAAACATCTGTCATAACTTCAGGCACCTGTGAATGCGATCTTAACTCGGAGAAAGCATCTTTGTAGATATAATTAAGAATCTTGAGATGAGATCACTTCACTTTTACCAGATGGTGCTAAAGCCAATGCATGTGTCTTTCTAAGAGATAAAAGAAACAAACGGGCATGTGTGGAGGCCATATGAAGAGACAGAGGCTTAAATAGGAGTTCTGCAGCTCCAAGCTAAAACCAGGCTAAGGGTAGCTCCGTGGCAGCACATGTGTAAGTTAAATCCCTAGCATGCCAAGAAGACTAAACCCCAAACTGATGAAACTCCAAAAGCCAGAAGATGCTAAGAGCTTCCTCAAAGCCTGGTGAGGAGGGCAGCAATAGTGATGGTGATTTCAGGCGGGGGGATTCAAGAGATTCAAGAAAACGAATTTCTGTGGTTTTAAAGTACTCTTTGGCAATTTGTTATAGCCACCCTAGGATGGTAATACACTAAGGTTCTACCATGTTCCGGGGCATAGTGGTGGAGTCAGGGAGATCTCTGTGAGTTTGGGGCTAGCCTAGTCTACATAGTGAGTTCCAGGCCAGCCAGAGCTACACAGTGAGACCCTGTGTTTCTACTGAGAACAGTATTCACGCTTACAGATGACCAACGCCACAGAGGCTGAAAACCAGTTCTGTGAAGATCCGTCACAGCAGCTCACTTTCCTGTGTTCACCCTTTATGAGTTATTCTTGCCTGTTCTTGTTTCAGGTGAAATGTTGACTTTATTTCAGCTGTGTCATCACCATTCATAATGAGAAAAGAGCAGTCAGACTTCAGAGAGCTTTGAGTTGTCTTTTTCTGTGCTGATGCTTATTCAGACACTGAATGAATGAACGAATGAATGAGTAAATGAATGACTGGTATGGATTATTTTGCATACCGAAGGTAAGCTTTGCCTGGCCTTGGGAATCCCCTTTGCATCAGAAACAGGAACTTTCCAGGCTGCTACTTTGAAAATTCGGATTTCAGAAGATCTGAATTTAAAAATGAGTGCTTTTTTTTTTTCTGGTAAAGTACTGGGGATTGAACCTAGGGGCTTGGCACATGCTAGACAAGTGCTTTACCACTAAGCTATAATCACAGCTCCTTAAAAAAAATAGAAAGAAAAAGAAACAAAACAAAACAAAAACCACAGAGAGAAAGAGACAGGCTTGAACTTGCCACTTTGTTGTGCCAACCTTCCAAGTAGGTTTGCACCACTGGACCTAACTGATAGAGACAGAGTTTAGGGACTTGACTGTCCCATCATTTCTTGGTTATTTCTTTTTGTTTTTGTAGTCCTGGTCATTGAACACAAGATTTTCAACATGTTAGAACATTCTAGACAATCTACCACTGAGCTATATCATTTTGAATCAAGGTCACACTACTGTTGTCCAGGCTGTGCTGGGACTCACTCTGTAGCCCAAGCAGGCCTGGAACTTGCTGTACAGGTCTGCAAGTCAGACATGATCGAGAAGCTCCATCTGTAAAGTGAGTGGGGCTCAGACTTCACTTTGACTCTAGGTCATGTCCAGCTATGTCTTCTACTATACTGTATCTGTCCCTGTCCTCTCTTATCTAGACTTTAGCTAGAGTCACTTTTCAATCTAATGATTCCCTCTATCTGAAGCCTTCCCAGCCTCCTCACTCCTTAGAACAGACCAAACTCAGGGGCAGGTGCCTGGTTTTTTAAAGCCCTGGAGCTATGCTTTCTTTGGCATTATATGTACTAAAATTGGAATGAGGCAAAGATTAGCATGCCCCCTGCCAAAGGATGACACACAAATTGGTGGTGTTCCTATTTAAAAACAAAAAACAAAACAATTTGGCTTTTACTCACAATTTCCTAGCTAGCTCCTCCTCTCCACCCCCCTCCTAGCCTGGTTCATTCTTCAAGTCTAGCACTCAGATGTTCCCTTCTCCAGTGACATTTTCTGTCCAGTATTCTTGCTAGATGTTCTCCCAAGACCTGGTACATCTCCATCATAACTAGATGCAATACATTTTTTATAAGGAGGGAAAGTAGAGACCTTGCCTAGCATGTGTGAATCCTAGGTGCAGCCCCTTTGTGGTGGTACAGCAGGCAGAAGGATTGAGGCTGAGGCAGGAGGATTGTTGACAGTTTAAGAACAGCTTGGCTACATAGCAATTTGAGACAAATCTAAGCTACTTAAGAGGTCCCTATCTCAAAAATACAAGAAAATGAAAAAAAGGAAAAGAAAATCTCACCAGTGTGGTGGTGCACGCCTTTAGTTCTAGTGTTCATACTCCAGAGAGAAAAGCAGCTGGATCTCTGTGAGTTCCCAGCCAGGCGGCTTCTACACAGCAAGTTCTGGGCCAGCCATGGCTACACAGCGTGATTCTCTTGTAGCATATAGTTTCTTTGTTTTCATTTTTCACCTTTTAGAGGCTCTGAGATTTCAGTTCCTTAAAAAAACCAAAAAAAACAAAAACACAAAAGAAAACAAAAAAACTAATTTCCTCCCTTCCTTTGTCCCTTCTTCCTTCCTTCCTTCCCTCCCTCCTTCCTTCCTTCCTTCCTTTTTTAAAAATAAGTCGGGCAGTGAATATGCACACCTTTAATCCCAGCACTGAGGAATCAGAGGCAGGCAGATCTCTGTGAGCTTGAGGCCAGCCTGGTCTACAAAGCAAGTTGGAATACAGTCAGAAATACGCAGAGAAACTTTTGTTTTGAAAACCAAACTAACAAAAAAATAAGAGATAGTATATAGCCCAGGCTGACCTCAAACTTTCTATGTAGCTAAGGGCAACCTTGAATTCTAATTTTCCTATTTCAGCCTCCATCTCTGCCACCACACCCAATTAGTTCCCTTTAGCTTTAAAAACAAACAAACAATAAAAAACTTTTTGAGGCATATACTTTTTATACCATAAAGATCATCCATGTGTTTGATTTAATAATTTTTAGCAAATGAACCATTGCAAGTGTAAAGCAAGTACTCTACCACTCAACTACACATCCAACCCCACCAGCTTTAAAATACCTTCATGACTCTAGTGAGACCCTACATGTTCTCTTCCTTGTCATCACTACTCCCACCACAGCTCCAGGCTCTGGAGTCTTATAAGGCTTAGCATGATTTGGCAGGACATCTATACACGAGGGAGCTCTAGGCAACATCCTTTTCGTTCCTATTATTCCTATTCCTATTATTGCTGAATAACATTTGGCTTTTGAGTGTGCCAGTATGTCACTGTTTAGGGTACCAGGGAAGGAACCCAGGGCCTGGCACATGCTAGGCAAGTGTTCTGCCACTGTGAGCAACATCTCCAGCCCTGTTTAGATATAGTTTCGTACTTTCACAAATTGCTGAACTTAGGAGTTGTTCCTGCTGGCTGTCAGTAATGCTACTAAACACAAATTTCCAGAGAGGTAGCTGGAGAGAAGAGACAGTATTTAACCATTTCAGGGAATGTGTTATAGAGTTATGGCTGCACAGTGGCTGTTTCACAATTTCAACCTGTTTGAATGAGCAGCATTTAGTCTAGTCATCCAGACTGACTGTGGAAACCTGGTTTAAAAAAAAATCAAAAAAGAGAAGTTCAAGAGGGCAAGAAGAAGTCTCAAAAGTTTGCCTCTGCCAGCAACAAGTGTACTAAAAAGATCTTCCATTTTCCTGGAAAAAAAAAATCACAACATAGTTTACAAACACTAAATGGGCTCTCACTTTCAGACATGTGGACGATAGATCACACAGTTTTCAACAAGCTGACTCTGGAAGGCCTGTAGGGAAAGTAACCAGACTACCAGGAACTTCCATCTGGAGACAGCCAGGCCATACATGTATGGGTGCTCTGTGATGATATGTACCTTGAAGATGCCAGAACTTTTCCAAGAAAGAAGTTAGGTGTTCCTGGAAACAATTTAGTCTTAGAAGATCTGAGTAACAGTATGATCTCTTGTGTGGAAAACGGTAAATCTGGACAGCGAACAAGCTGTTTCACTAAAAACAATCTGTTTTTAGTGAAATGTGGCAGTTTCATAGGGTTACTGTCATCTGGTCCATAATGTAGTGTTACTTCTCTAGTAATTCTGGAGAGAGAGCAAGGAGAGAGAGAGAGAGAGAGAGAGAGAGAGAGAGAGAGAGAATGTATGTGCACATTTGGCATTGCTCCTCAGATACTATCTTTGGTTTTGAGATAACGTTGCTCACTGGCCCAGGAGCTCACCAAGCAGGCTAGGCTGGCTGCCCTGTGAGTCCCAGGGACCCTTCCCACCTGCCTAGCATTAGGAATACAAACACAAGCCACCATGCCTGGCTCGTTAACTTGGCATCCGTGGGTCAAACTCCAATCCTCAAGCTTGCAAGCACTTTACTGACTAAGCTATTTCCCTGTCACCTAGTTACTTATAATGAAAAGAAAATATCTATGCTGACCTTCTCAACTCTGGGATGTAATTTGTTATTACAAGACCACTTGGGTCAGGCGAGAAAGAGCAGCACTTTCCAGCCCTCCTACTTGAGCCTGTCCTTTTAAAATCCTGCCCAGGGAAGAAGTTCAGTCTGGCTGAGAGAAAACGTGACTGTGCAAGTTTGAAAAGACTACTTTAAAGCTGCTTCCAGCACCTCCTTTCTGTTAGTAGCTTATATCCCACCCTCAAAGCCACTCCTATTCTCTTAGAAACCTGTTCATATAATATTCCATTTGCTATCAATAATGACACATCTCCAGTCCTGGATAACAATGCATGGCTTCCTCGATGCCAGCATGGTGGATTCTACTATGCCCTCTTGTTCTATGCATAGTAAGACTTAAAAATAGTTGGGCAGTGGTGGAGAAAGCCTTTAATCCCAGCACTTTTGGAGGCAGAGTTAGGCTGATCTCTGTGAGTGCAAGGCCAGCCTGGTCTACAGAGTGAGTTCCAGGACAGCTAGAGCTGTTACATAGAGAAACCATGTCTTGAAAAAATAAAAATGGTAATAAATAAATAAATAAATAAATAAATAAATAAATAAAAAGACTAAAAACCAAGTGGTTTCTGAAAAGGAGCACGAGCATCCTGATTTCTCTTAGAAAAAAAAAAGCCTTGTATTCTCATTATACCCACAGTAGTTCTCCTTTGCATAAGCTGTAAACAAGACTGGTATCCTGCAGGCAAGCTAAAGGCTGTGGGTAGAATGGCCCAGAAGGACACATTTCCAAGTCAAGGAAAGTTCTGGGTGGACAGACTCATGCAAAGAGGATGCTTCTCTCCGTGTGAAACGTGTCGCCAAGAGAGACACTGTCCCCTGAGATGGTAGATGTGCTCTGTTACAAAAGCAGGGAAAGCATTTTAACTCTTCCTGTGGTAACTAGAGGTCACAGGTTATAGCTTTCTTTGGCTTTGGCTATAAAAAGCCACTCTGGAGAGCCTTTTGTTGCCCGGGGTGGAGAGTCATCACCCTTTGTTCTCAGTGAGGACAACATTGAGGGGCATTGTTTTGTGTTGGGGGGCCCAGGACAAAAAGACACATCTGCTACCAGAAGTCTGTCTACACTGTGCACTCACAAAGAGGGTGCTCTAAATTTGTTCCCTGGCTAAAGGACATTTTCACCATGCCTTCCTTTTTTAGGTCTCTGAGTCAGTCTATTTAAGGGAGTGGACTGGCCATGGGGGTTGGCTGTGGTGGGGAGGAGTCAGGCGGAGCTCTGATGGCACAGTTTTTGCAGTACTTCCTCTCTGAGAGGAACGGTCTTAAGTTTTCTCAAAATACATATTTTCAATGGGGTATAGTGGTGCATACCTTTAACACTGAGGGGCAAGAGGATCTCTGTGAGTTCAAGGGCAGCCTGGTCTACATAGCAAGTTCTAGGCCAGCCAGGGCTGCATGTCAAGATCCTGTCTCAAAAACCCCAAGTCCAAATACACTTTTATCTGGGTGTGACTGCTTCAGCCTTGTAATCCCAGTACTTAGGAGGCCGAGACAGCAGAATTGCTGTGAGTTCAAGTCAATTGTAAGCTGTGTGAAAGACTCTGACTCTCAGTTTTTAACACAATAGTACATACATTTGTAGCTGGCTGTGATGGTGTATGCCTATAATCCCAACATAGTGTAATCCCAGAATGTTGAATGGGAGTACAGGCTATCCCATCTCAAAAAGTCAGTCCCCCCTCCCCTCTGAAAAGCTCAGGGAACATCACAAAAAAGGGAGGGGGCAGAAAGAATATAAGAGCCAGGATATGGGAAGAATACATGAAATACTGTGCTAATGTGATATGGTTGTTGTGCTATGGTTACTCACACAAGACCTACACAAAATCAAACCAGTTGATAGTTCAGTGCCAGGGCTGGAGTGGCAGTTCCTTCAGCAGTTAAAAAAACTGGCTACTCTTCCAGAGAACCAAGACAGATTCCCAGCATCCACTTGGTGGCCCACAACTGTCTGTAACTCCAGTTGTGTGGCATTCAGTGCTCTCTTCTGGTCTCTTTGTGTACTGCATTCATGTAAGCACCACCTTAGTCCTAGCATTTGGGAGGCAGAGGCAGGCAGATCTCTATGAGTTTGAGGCCAGCATTGTCTATGTAGTGACTTTATAAACTGAGGTATTGGCAATTGATGGCTGCTAGAGAAGGGATATTCATTTTTTCTTAAGAGATGTGGTCTCCTGTAGGCTGTCAAGACTCCAGGGCATGGTCTCACACATCCATGTGATACAGTTAGTACTAAACAAATCAGGAAATTGTTTTTAAAAAAGTTATGGAATTGGGGCAACGAGGTGTTGTGGGGAGCAAAAGGGGGAAAATGGGGGATAGATTGATATGATCAAGACACATATATGAAAATTTCAAAGAATAAATTTAA